CTGAGTTAACTCTGGTGTCCTCAAGTAAACTGAATAAAAGCAGTTACTTTTCATTTTAAGTTCAGCTGACTTCCCATTTTTTATGGCGTACTTTCTACAGAAAAAAAAATCCTCACTGAGAGGGCACATTAAAGCGGATTATAGGTTCCAGTGTTGACACTCCAGAGTTCAGATGATAATCACACCTTAATTAATGCCAGTAAAAGGTAATTCAGGGTAAGCCTCTTGTCTGTTATCTGCTGTTGTAATACACATAAGAATAATGAATGTTTTACATTATGTCCTATTTATAGACATCATAACTGTTTTTATGCTGCCATTTGGATCCTTTTCTTGACATAAACATGTGTTCCCACTGCTTGTTAAAAATCAACTGGACCTATTCTTAGTCACAGACAGTATAAGCATTAGTTAATGCATGTGTTTATTTATTTAGCTTGATGTCTAAACCATCATGAATTAATAGAAGGCATAATTGCTTCATGTTCATGTTCAAGTTCATGGTTTGTTAAGTATTGCAGTAAATAGTCCTCAAAGCCTTATAAAATCTTTTTGATCCACAAATGTAAACTGGCATGTGGTCTTTTATGCACATGGTGCTGTTGAGGATATGAATTGGACTGCTGGAGGTACTTGCATTGGGGAGGCTCTTGACTCTGCCTGAAAAATTTTCAAGACTCTCAGCCTGCTCATAAAATGCCGATGGGGCTGACTCACAGGAATTCTGATCCATGGGACGCTAAACCACTGTCCTCTCTGTGCAGTGTAACCAACATCACGGTGAGACTCTTCACTGTACATGGTTTACATGGTAGATACAACAGGTTCCATTACTGATTTAATTCTGAACGCATAGCTTTAGAGGTGCATATTCAGCAGAGTGTGTGTGGCAAGTGGTGGGCATTCCTCAGACCCCCTTGCTCCACCATAACTGAAGAGATCATGTGTATAAATACACAGTCAGTCTTTCAGAACTTCACCAGCTACATTAGCCAAGGTAAATGTAACCCTGCTCAAATTCCCTTTTTATTAAGTATCATTTTGTTGCTATCTTCTTAAATACTCCCATTAACCTTAAGGGAACCTCTCTCTTATAACTAAATAACATGTAGTAACTGAATAATTGATTGTTGCTATGTTACTCCAGGTGGCTGCAAACGTGTTGGCTGCCAGTTGGTTCCGGTGGTATTCTGGGTGGTGGCTTGGTTGATGCTAAGCCGTTGCAATGATATTGCAGGTAGTTGCAATTATGTTGCTATGCGATTGCTATAGTTACCCAGTTGGTTGCTAGGGCCTTGTTCTGCAGTTTTTAGATGGTTGCTATTTTATTTTAAGGCTATTGCTAGGTGGTTGCTATAGTATTTTAAGTGTTTTTAGGGTGTTGCTATGGGTTGTTCAGGTGTTGTTAGTGGTTGCTATGTGTGGTTTCTAAGTGTTTCATGTTGTTCCATGTGGTTACTAGAGTGTTGCTATGTCGTTGCTATGGTGTTCCAGGTGGTCACTTGCATGTTGCTAGGCACTTACTATGTTATCCAGGGTTGATGCTAAGGTGCTGCTAGGTGGTTGCTATGGTATCTTTGGTAGTTGCTAGGGTGTTGCTGTGTGGTTGCTAGGGTGTTCCAGGTGATTGCTTGTATGTTCTTAGGTGGTTACTGTGTTATCCCAGGTTGATGCTACGGTGCTGCTTGGTGGTTGCTATGGAATCTCTGGTGCTTATTAGGGTGTTGCTATGTCTTCACTATGGCCTCGGAACTGATGTTAGATGATTACTGTGGTATCTGTCATGGTTGCTATGGGTTGCTAAGTGGTTGCTATAATGTTCCAGGTGGTTGGCAGGGTATTGTAAGGTGGCTGCTGTGGTATCCCAGGTGATTGATAAGGCGTACGTATGTCATTGTGATATAAAAGGGGTGTTCCCAACTTTTGGTTACGCAGTATTCAATCATTTCAGTGGAATGAGAGTTTGTATAATTCATAATCACATAAGAATACTGAGCATATCAAAAATGGTATTTAACGATCACAGTACAAAAAAAAACAAAACTATGTACTGTGTTGTATTAATGCTTTGTTGTTGTGGTTGTATTTATAGATTACTGATATTCCTTACTATTCTATGACAGTGTTACTTTGATACTTTGATGTTTCTAACTCTGCTGTGACAGTGATCTTCGTTTTTTGCTGTCATATTCCAGAAAAGTCAGAAGCCCTCTGCAAAAATGAATTGAAGCTTTGATGATATTAGTCTTCAGGAGAATGTTTGGTTAAATTTGCCAGCTGCCTTCAAAGCAGCCATGGATATTGTGTTCATGCTGGATGAATCCTCCACTGTGAGTCTCAAGAATCCAGAGACTTTGTGGCAAACATGGCCCAGAGGCTTCTCTCATCAAAAGCAGATGAAAACCTGCATGTGTCCATTATCCAGTATAGTGATTCCCAGCAGCACAGACTGGAAGTCCCATTCACCAGTCACATGGACACTGCCATGTCCAGTCTGCTGGCTGTGTGCTTGGACAGCTCAATGTTTCCTGCAGGACAGTCGTCTTAACAGATGACAGGACTATGACCACATCTAGAGTGAACCTGCCAAAAGCTGCAGCGGCTGTGGGGGCTCAGGGGACTAACCTGTTCACTCTCACTGTGGGTGAGTCAAGTATTGGCCAGCTGGTCTTGGGAAAGGCTGACAACTTTAACTACAGTTTTGTGGACAGCCAGAGAGCCACATTACAGTGACAGAACAAAATTGTCAGTCATGCAAAGCCTGGTTAAGAAACTGTCCAAAGAGTAAATAATCTTAATACCTCTTGATCTGTTTTGTAGTAAAGGTGTAACAATACATACATTTCAGGTTTGAGGTCAAGAGTGAAGTAGATTTTTGATCAATTACACGTTAAAACACTCCGATTCTACATAGCTCTAATTATATAATGCACAGATTGGTTTGGCTCAGATGGGCCTAAATATAAAGTCCTCAGGTATTTCAGTGGCTGCTGCCCGAAAACAAAATAAGCCTCTAATTGCAACCCTTTTATAAGCGACTTCAGGAAAACAAAAAGTGTTGGTGTTTCCATAGCAAAAGTGTCCTGAGATCTGTTGATTATTAACATTTAGTAACATGTTATCACACTGCTAATGCTAATATGTGCTAATTCAGTATAAACAGAACTTCTTTGGTGTTACCCACTGTAAAGCAAACCCTGTTAATGTATAGTAAATGATTAATTACTGCTCCTTGTAGTATATGTTAATGGTAATAATTAAAAAAAGGAAGCAATTTCAGGTTATAAACTCAGTCATTTGAGTGCTGGGAGTTTTTTAAGACTTTCCATAAAATGCTCTTGTCGACTTTGAATGACCACTCAGAGGTATGTCACATCTACATTACGCAGGTGGGAGAGTGAGGAGCACTGCCCTAACAAGGTTGGCAACGTATCGCCTTTATTTATTTTGCTGTTAGCCAGGTAGCCTTTAGCTGCTAATATGCTTTATGCTGATAATTTAAATCCTGAACTCCCTCAGCTCAGCTAGTAAATAGTCAAACTACTATTTTTAATCTCATATTTTTAGAAATTAGGCTGCATTCCCTTACCTCAGCCAGACAAAAGAAGTCCATCCTTTTTTAAAACTGGAATGAATAATGGCCTATTTGATATGACTGTGTAATAAATTGCACTCCCACCTGCTTCCCTCACAGGAAGAGGTATGGAAGGATATTCTCTTGCATTGTAGCGCCATCTACTGTGTAGCCTTGATTTCCCATGGTGGGCAGTTGATTAATATTCTGAAAAATCATGAGGGGGGTTTACTACTTCTTCATTCCTCCCTTCCTTCCATCCTTTCTTCTTCTTCCTTCCTTACTTCCTTCCTTTTTTCGTTCCTTCAGGCAGCCGTCAGGTCAGTGTAATTCCAGTAACTTAACATTTCACTTGAGAACTCATGATATCTGAGTGCCATTCTGGATGCTGAAGTTCAGATAAATATGATATTGTAGATCTGCCACTGTCGCACTTCATTTTGATCATTACTCTTATTCAGTATTTTACCATATTATAACATATTACCAAAGTTTTCAAACTCTTCAAGCCATGATGCAAAATACAAAGCAAAATTAACCATAATGCATAACACAAAATGATGTAAAATTAGGTAAAAGGCCTGCTATAATTAATGTGCTCAAGAATCCAGTACAATTAGAATGAATTTTCTGTAATCACTTATCATTATTTTCTGTAATCATTACGTGTGCTATATATATAGACGTGTGTGTGTGTGTGTGTGTGTGTGTATAAACTGTAGTGTGGGTGGCAGTCAAATGAATGACGGCTCATGAATGATCCTACGTAGGAATAAGCTCTTTTTCTAGCCGCGTGGATTTCCCCACCTGTCATAGGCAAAGTGATGTAACTTAGATTCAGTTCATTCAGTTCATTCAACCGACTCACTAGAACTGTCAATGAATCAACAAATCGATTCAACTACAACTTCGTTTTCCATGGCTTTTACAATGATTACAAAAATTTGCCACGTCAACTTTATTATCATCAAATCATTCTGAGCTCTACTACTTCGACTCACTAATGGAGTCAGACTCATTTCACAAAACTCAAAACAGAAAGAGAGATACAGTTAGAAAGAAAATGTAAACAAATCCAAATACTTTGGTGTTAATATATTGTAGAGGTGTTTTATAATTTATATATTTTTTATGATTTATAATTTTATGATTGACATTTGAATTTCTGCAGTCTACGGCCTTTAAGGCGAACGTAAACTTTAAATCGATTCAGCTGAACTTGTAAAACGGTTCGACCGATTTATTGAAAAGAACCGATTCAGAAGAACGATTCGACACCAGATTAGAGACTTTAGTCATGTATTTATTGTTAGATATACGAACATGTGAAGAGCAGATATAGACACACGCATAAGGACACGACAAGAAAAGGCAAAGTTTAGGAGATTTATTCTCTCTGATTTAAATAAATGACTGAGTGACAGCTCCGGGAAACGCCCACCGAGGCGGAAGTGCGCCGTGTTTGTGGGTTTGTTATTGACTGAAGCTAGCTGTGGAGTTTCTCTGACTCTGGCGGGACTCGGGTATTTTTACGGTGTACATTTTCGGGAAACTTCTCTGCCTTTGCGTCTTTTCATCATTTGAACCTCAATAAGGTGGGATTTCGCTGCTGTGTGGCAAAAAGGCCGGTTTGTAAGTAACTTAGCTAGCTCGTGTTTAGCCTGTTCGTTAGCTGCTATGGAGCAGCCGTAGAGCTGTAACTGTTAACGTTACCAGGCTGAGAGTGAGACAGGCGGCAGAGAGAGAGAGAGACAGCCCGGAGAGAGGCGGCTAAAATGGACTGTAGCGCCCTGGAGCTCGATGCTATCAAATTTGCCAAATCAGCGGTGATACACGACCAGAAAGGAAAGTACAATGAAGCGATTTTCTTTTATAAGGTAAGTTAAGCCCTCCGACTCTGCTCAGTGACAGGTATCCTAGCCACCTGGACAAGCTTAGTTTCTTTTTGTGCTGTGTCCTAAACTGAAGAGATGGCTGCTGTAATGTGTCACATTTAGCGGATATAAACACCTGTTCACGTTACCGCTGACGCTTCATGACTTCCAGTGCTAACTTACAAGAAGTTCTATGACATACACCTTGAAAACATACATAGGAGTGGCAGATGTACTTGTGGTTGTTATTGACTGTAGTCTCGTAACCTAAATTACCGTTTTTAATCTGTGTGTAGAAGACTGTTAGCCTGTAAGCTACGTGTTAAGTGCCCCTTTCTCTTGAATGTATAAAACTGATGAGGAGTCGTTTCTTTTTCTCTTTAGGAGGCAGCCCAAGCTCTCATCTATGCTGGCATGGCAGGGTCTAAACTGGAAAACCTTCAGGGAAAAGTAAACGAGTACCTGGAACGAGTACAGACTCTACTCAGTGCTGGTCAGTTCTCTGAAATATAGTGATATAGTAACACTGTTTGTGCCAAGGTGTTCTGGGTCCTTATACCCTTAATTTACTCTGTGAGGGTAAAGTGGCCAAAGTTATGTCAGGGATTCAGATTTGAATGCTTACAAAAACTCTTTTAGTGTATTTCTCTCAGTGTTTGTGACTATGTTTTCACATTCTGTTGAGAACTGAGTGTCTGAACTCATACTTTCCGTGGCTTATGCTCCAGTAATGCTTGCGCTGGCCAGGGCTTGGTTTGAGTATGGGTGTGACTCTCAAAAAGAAACTACGTCATCATAGTCCTACCCTCCACACACCGTAGGAGTGTGCTCTCATCTTATTACTGCTTTGAATAAAAGAATTCACCTTCTCCCTCTTCCCTTTTGTGCATGGTTATGTGATCATGCCCTTCTCATTTAGTTCTACACATCTTTGTTCAAGCCTTTGTAACCTACTCTTTAAATTTCCCTCATCAGTTCAAGCACAGAGCAGTGACCCGTTAAAGACCAAGCATCAGCTGGATCTCGAGCGGGCGTACTTTCTGGTAACCCAAGCCTTTGAGGAGGATGAGAAGGGTAACAGTGACGAGGCCATTGAGCTCTACTCGCAGGCCGTGGAGTTGTGCATACAAGCAGTGAGTCATTATGTGCAAGAGAAAGTTCTGGACTGGAGACACTTCAAAAGTTTGGAATCACTTGTCATATTGACAGTTGCTGTTATTTTATTCAGTAACAACTTATACAGTGTAGACTGAAATGCCATTGGCTAGACAACAGTAGTTAGTTTAAGATGTTTTATTTAATATTTCAAGTTTTTGGAAACAGCAAAAACTTGTCTATTTACAGTAATTTCTTGATAAGTTATTCACCTTTAGATTTGGTCACCAGGTTTCAAATACAAGGCGTTCTGGGTTTTGATTATTTTAACTTCATTCTCAATGTTATATAGCTTTCTTAATCATTATGGGCTCGTTTACAGTTCTGTTCATCCTGGACCTATTTAAAATGAATTTAAATGATTGTATACATGTATATGTATGCAACAACTTCAGGTTTATATTATTGAATGCAGTGATTCCAGACTTTTAAAAGTTAGTGTATGCCACAAGTACAGGGGTGCATGCATATGCTTATTATAGAGGGTCTGTAAAGGGAATTTTTCAAGGCAGGATCAGTAGAACTGTTTGTTGTACTAAATATTCCCTGCTCATTAAAAAGTAAGAATTTTTTTTTTGAGAAGTAAGACCTTAAAGGGTGTTAAATAGCACTGAATTGGACGATACCCGCAGATAACCTTTTCTACATGTTTCAAAGGTTGAATATTTGCCCTAAGGTTATTTAGCCATGCAAATGTAGTCCAGTGTACAGTAGAGTGCAAAAGTTTGGGCACCTTAAATTACATGTTTTATTGATTTTCTAAGCTGAAAATAAAACACATTCTCTACAGGGAACTCCTTTCTCCATGTTTTAATGCACAATTACTGTTCATTTGCTGAGTTTAACATATTGGACCAAAAAAAAAAAACATGGCCTGTGCAAAAGTTATAGAACATTTTCATATGTTATGTTTCATTTTCTTCCAATATGTTAAGCTCAGCAAATAAATAGAAACAGTGCATTCAGATGTACAGAGGTGTGTTCCCTGTAGAGGATGTGTTAACTTATTTTCACCTAGAAGAAAATGTGATTTGACTATGGGAACCCAAACTTTTGCATACAACTGTGTGGAAATAGAACAGAACAGCAGCGTTGTTGACTAGGAACTTCTGCCTCTGGCGGTTCTGAGTTTTGATAGCGGGAATCTAACTGTTTATCATACCCTTATATGCCAACATGACTTTATAACCTGTCAGTCTTGCAACAGGTGTTAGAGAGCAGGGTTTCATGTTGAGTGTATATTTCATGATTAACGGCTTTACTGAGTGCTCCAGTGATCAGGAACTGAACTGCGTTCCTTTCTCCCTCTCTCTTTCAGTCCAACGAGACCTCTGATCAAGCACTTCAGGGCAAATTGAAGCAGTTGGCTCGCCAGGCACTAGACAGGTGACCTAGCTCTGTGGAATATTCAGAATGCAGTAAAATCTTAGAGGGTAAACACTGAGTGAATCCTGCTGCGGAAACACTGAATATTAGGTAAAATAGGGGAAGCTGACCATATCTGCCCTCAATTTCTCTGCTGTTCAGTGATGGAGCTGAATGACTACATTAGGTGTGGGTAATATTGGAAAAATACAGTATCATGATACTTGAAGGAATTTTTCATGATAGGCATTACAATATTTATTTATTCTGAGGTTCGATAAGTTGGGACAGAAAGAATTCACCAGCAGTTCAAAAAAATACTGTAAAAAATTATGACTACAGTGATTTTTATTCAGCATTTTACATACTGAGCTACATTAGATCTAATTACACAGGCCTAATTATACTGTCTTTTTTATTGAAACATGCAGTTGTTTAGTACTTTTTTTGAGTACTGACCACATCCATCATATGCTTAGAAAAGCATATTGTGTCATATTGTGATGCAATGTGTCACACGTCAGTAATATATTGTCATATTGCCTAATCCTAGACTACATTCGTGGGATTTACTACCCAGCATTTTGAAGTCAGTCAAAAGAATTAATTGGATAATAGTGTTAGTGTAGTGTAATTGATATGGTTTTGAGAGGGAAAAAAAATAAAAAATTTACCTTTGTGGCAAAAAGCCCTCCCAGAAAAGGGGCGAAAGGCCCCCATAAACATATTGCCCCAAATTTTTGTTTATTTATTTCTTTATTTATTATTGTCTTTTTTATTTATTTATTTATTTATTTTTTAGATTTTCGACATAAAGTTGGTCGTTCTAATTTCACTGGCTAACTTAGCAGTGGTCAGTATTTTTAGCCAGAATGTTTGTGTACTAGTAGGCAAAGATAAACCTACTCCTAATTTCTATTCATTCATTATTTGTATTATATTATATGCTTTTTTGTTTATGTTGTTATTCTGTAAAAAAAAAAATCAGATGATAACTGATCCTGTGCTGTCATATTGACACAGTAGTGTTTTATGTGTTGGATTGCTGTTCATTCAATTTCACCACCACCTTCTGTTTTTGTTTTTCTGCTTATTCATATCATTCAGGGCAGAGGGACTGAAAGACTCCCTTTCTAAACCTACACTGCAGGAAAAGGCCATCAGCTCCACTTCCAAAGCCCCTGCTCCAGTGAGGCAGTACCTGCCCCTGGGTCCAGACTTCTCCCTCCATGACAAGCCGCAGCCGGTCCGAGCAGTGCAGTCCAGCGAGCCGCAGGGCCAGCGCTACACACCTGAGGAGATAGAGGTGCTCAGGTGAGTGAAGCTGGCTGCTTCAGCTACAACCACTCTAGAATATTTAGGCATTCATGCTGTGCCCATTTATCTGAATTATTTTCAGGCCATGAAAAATCATTTATGTAGTCAAGTGTAGATGTGTCTACTCATGTTGACTCTTTTCTTTTGTGTATTGAAGGAAGACCTCCAGGATAAATGGAATTGAATATGTGCCATTCATGAATGTTGACCTGAGGGAACGCTTTGCTTTTCCTGTTCCATTCTCGTGAGTTTCTTTTGCTGGAGTCCCAAAATACTTAGCGGAACTTCTATATAACTGCTATATAACCCCTCAACTTTAGGTTTATTATTCAGTTATTAATCTTAAGACTTTTAATAACTACTATATATTATTCAGTAACTACAAACCTTAATGCAAGAAATGTTGGAACAGTATGTAAAATGCAAATGAAAACAGAAAGCATTGATTTGTAAATCCACTCTGACCTGCATTCAAAGTAAAACAGTACAAAGAGAAGATGTTTAATGTCTAACTTAAAATCTTTTTTGTTTTTATATGGATATACTCATTCTGAAATTGATGCAATGCAACCTTTAAAAACTTTGACAGAGGTTTGGTACAATTTTAGACTAGGAACCTTGTGATAAGTTTGCTTCATCTGTTTAAGGTGTTTTTTTAATGATACATGGGTATAAAAAGATCATCCAGGAAAGACCTTGTCCTTTATGAGCAAGGGTGGGTTGAAACTTGCCACATTTTCCAAAAATGTCAGCAAATTATTCATTAGTTTAAGAACGTTTCCCAACAAGAACTGCAAGTATTAATTTCTGTGTATAAAGGGCAAAACTGAAAATCACAACTGAATTTCAGTGACCTTTCAACCCCTAGACAACACTGCAGTAAAAGATGCATTCTTCTCTGATGGACATCTTTGCATGGGCACAGGAATAATTTGACAAACTGTTGTCAGTAAACACATCATGTTCATCTCTACATCCACAAGTGAAAGTACACAGCAGAAGTAGTATATGAACAAAGTAAGTAATATATGAACAAACGCCACTGACTTCTCAGGGCTCAAAGTCAGCTGAAATGGACCAGTGCACAGTGGAAATGTGCACTGCATTCTGAAGAGTCAAGCTTTCAGATTCTATCTGGAAGTAATGAATGTTGTATTTTCCGGGCCGAAGAAGAAAAGGACCATCCAGATTGTTACCAGTGTAAAGTTCAAAAGCCAATACCTGTCATGGTGGGCATGGGTAACTTGCACATCTGTAGGTACCTTTAATGCTGCAAGATATATGAAGATACATTTTGGAGTACACAACGTCTTTTTCAGGATTGTCTTAAGTTTATTTCAACTCAACAGTGCCAAGCCACATTCTACAAATGTTACAACAATGTGGCCGTGTAATCACAGAGTGTGGGTGCTAGACTGACCTGCCTGCTGTCCAGACCTGTCTCTTATTGGCAACGTGTGGCACATTATGAAGCACAAAATACAATAAAGGTACCACACAGTCATGCAGTTGAAGACTTGTATAATAGAAGAATGACCAAAAAAAATGATGTATTTAATCCCTAAACAATCAAGTGTTGTTTAAAGTATGGTTTTTAGAATGTGATGTGTCTGGAAATAATGGATGTTGCGTCAAATTTGGAATGAGCATATATTTACCAAACAAACAAGAAAATAAACAAAGTTAAGGTAAAACATTAAATATTTTTTTTTGCTGTTTTCACTTTAATACAAGTCAAAGATTTTATGAATGCCTGCTTTCAGTTTTTATTAGCTTTTTACATACAGTACCATTTTTTTTAAATTAAGGCTAGTACTATGCAATTAAAATGTCAGCTAATGTTTGTATTTATGTAAATGAGAAACTGTAGTCTGGAAGGTCCCTACAGTGTAAGAGTTTAACCTATACAAATTTAGATAAATGTGTTAATTTTATTTTCTGCAAAGGTTCCTTTTGCACTTCTTAGTCTAAATGGACCATTGTTTTTTGATCTCAAGGGACAAGCGTGGAAAGCTGGCCTTGTCTCCCAAACAGACCGCCATCTTCTCTCGCTGGGTCCGGCCTGACGAGATCAGCAACAACCCCACCATGATTTTCACTGTGTCCAGCTTCAGTATCAAACAGGTGCCACTGTTTTCTGTACTACAGATCCCTGATATTCGACGTCAGACCTTTGATGGGGCTTTGAAGTTGTGAAATAATAATTTGTAAATAATAATTATTGGTTGTAAATAATAATTATTTGTTGTGTTATTTGTTGCTGCAGACGGTAGTATCAGACTGCTCTTTTGTCGCCTCTTTGGCCATCAGTGCTGCATATGAGAGGCGCTTCAACAAGAAGTTAATCACCAGGTAGAGTCACACTGCAAAGCATCCTTTGCTACATCACAGATGAATGACTGCTGCAGGGATTATTGTGCAAAGCCTTGGCCTAAAATCATCCATTTCAGCCTTACTGAGACACTTTAATCACTTAGTAATAGTCAGCAAAGTGAATATCACTGTCATGATGATGGTGTGTTTGTGTGTGTGTGTGTGTGTGTGTTTACAGCATCATATACCCGCAGAATAGGAGGGGGGAGCCAGAGTATAATCCATGTGGAAAATACATGGTGAAACTACACATCAATGGAGTCCCTAGAAAGGTACAGACACTGGGATCTTTTGTCTTGAAAGATCTGCACTGCTGTTATTTTGCTGTCATTTTATATATAATAATTGTCAGTACATCAGTGTACATCAGTCAGTACTGTACAACTGCTTTTCATTACATTGATCAACCATAACATTAAAATCATCTCCTTGTATCTACACTCATTGTCCACTTAGCTCCACTTACCATATAGGTGCACTTTGTAGTTACAATAACAATACTACAATAAGAGACTGCGGTCAGTCTGTTACTCTGCTACAAGGTAGATGTGTGTAATAGATTGGACAGTGAGTGGACACAGTGTTTAAAATCTTCAGTGCGACAGTGTCCGTCCATTCTTTGCACATGTTGCACCCGAACAGTGCACAATATGTCTGTCAAGGGATTCAGCCATTTGGGCCTTTGGGATTCAGTCACATGTGCAGAATACCCTACCAAGCATAGAGTGCACTATATAGGAAGTAGATGCAAAAAAAAATATTAATCACATAGTGCACTATTCACTGTAGAGACCGGTATTTCAGAAGTCACATAGTCACATGGTGACTCTCTCTATAGGGAGTAGGGAGCAATTTGAGATTTAATATTACTTCAGACAGAACTAACTAAAAACAGGGTCATTTGAATATTATTTAAGGATCTTATTAACTATCTGTTAGACTTTTAGCTCTTTGCCAAGTTGATCAATTTATTTCTTGTCGTATACAAAACAAGTCATCAGCCCTTCACTTTTAAACAAAGCAAGGTTCTGATTGCATCTATCAATAACAGCACCTTTATTGCTTCATCTATTAATTACACTTGTAATTAATACAGACTTGTGCATTAATACAGAATTCAGTTGTTGTGAGTTGGTCATAGTTGTGCGTACCTTGAATATTTTACAGCAGCTTAGAATGTAGCTCAGCTGGTCAGACTGGAAGTGTTTGTTTTAGAATTATTTTCTATTATTAAAACATTCAGTTTAGAACTTTTGAAAGGTGATCCCGAACTTTTGACCAGTTGTGGAAGAGCGCTTTGCAGTGATGGCTTTTTCACCAGTGACGGAGGTGCATTGTAAACAATTTTCCTTCAGGTAATCATTGATGATTTCCTCCCAGTGGACCGCAATGGTGAGCTGCTCTGCTCTTACTCAAGTAACCGAAACGAGCTGTGGGTTTCCCTCATAGAGAAGGCCTACATGAAGGTGATGGGTGGATATGATTTTCCTGGCTCTAACTCTGTAAGTATAAGCCACAAAAACAGTAAGTATATGGGTGTGGATAATATAATGAAAGAGGGTTTTTATTAGGGGAGTTACAAACTTCAGACCTTTTACCTCTCAGTGAGATTCTTTTCATTTGCAGAATATTGATCTGCATGCGCTGACTGGCTGGATCCCAGAACGCATTGCCATGCACTCAGACAATCAGTCCTTCAGCAAGGACGACACCTTCCGAATGCTTTTCCAAAGGTGAGCACACATCCTTAGAGGAAATGCTCCTGTGCAGTGTTTTGCTGCTTTTGTCAAAGCCTGTATTCCTTCAGCTGACGGACATTTTGAGAGCTAGAGTGCATTGTGGATTTCACTTTGACAGGTTTCACAGAGGAGATGTCCTCATAACCACAGCGACGGGTGTTATGACTGAGGAGGAAGGGGAGAAGTGGGGCTTAGTGCCCACACACGCCTACGCTGTACTAGACATCAGGGAATACAAGGTCAGTTTGCGTGCCTGCTTTCTTTCCTATCAACTATTCCATTTGGTCATGTTATCAGGGCTTGCATATTTAAAAGACTGTGCTGCGACCAATCTGTTTAACCTTTACCAGTTACATCTGTATTGTGTTAGCAGCATTAAAAGCATGGTGTACTTCAATATAAATTACCTTTGATTAATGTCTTTGTTGAAACAAGCTGAGAAATTCTAAGCTTACATTTGACAACATGTTTGTGTTCACAAGTAGGAGACGAGATGTTTTATTATGAAAGTGCTTTTGAGTTATATTAATGTTGTGTTGAAGGGTAAAGCATTTGAACACTGTTCTACACCTATTAAAACATACAGGCATGTATAGGGGGTTTTATATTATTTATATGTAATAGCAGACCAAGGCAGATCAGACATGTTGGCTGAATTTTGGGACTGGCATAATAAAATACAGGGTGTCCCAAAAGAATTGGCATGATTTGATATGTGAATATCTGAGTAACTACATGTCCAGGCAAACAAAATTAAAAAGGGTTCATGTTGAACAACACAAGATTTATTTATCAAAATTTGAACAAGAAATTCAGAGGGATGTAGATTTTATAATTGGTTTCACAAAGCTTCACAAATGTAATAGCTTCCGATACTGGTGGTTGTCCAGATCCCTTTGTCCTGCACAGACAGCCTCTCTTTGAATTTTTTGTGTCGTGTCAAATCTGCTTTCCACTTGGTGCATTTTTATTGACTTTTCTTAAAAATGCATGCTGCACACTCTTGTTTGACTGTGTTCGAGCATGTTCTAACACACAAAATGCCTTTTCATTTCTAGTGAATGCCATTCTTCATCCTGAAAAAAAAAACATTAAAAATTAACCTTGGTTAGTTTTTACACATTTTGTTAAAATTTGAGATCATTTGAGGGTGAATTTGCTATGTTATTAGACTACAAAATGATGTCAGTTTCTTTGGGACACCCTGTATTTTCCTGTCTATTCTTCATTTTCTTGTTTTTGACAACAGTAACAATGGCAATTTCCACTTGTGGCTTTGAGATTTGCAGTGTTCCTTTTGTGCTAAGCTAGCAAATGTTATATATTCAGTATATTCACGTTGGGGTTAATAGTACTTATGACAAGTCTGTCGTATACTTGGACATTTGAAGCTTGGAAGACAGTAAATCAGTAATTCATAAAGCCTTTCAGTGATGCAATATAGTGTGTGTGTGTGTGTGTGTGTGTGTGTGTGTGTGTGTGTGTGTGTGTGTGTGTGTGTGTTTTAAATGTAATTTGAATGGTACAAGATTCATTGTTTACATGTGTGTGATGTGAAGGAGCAGGTGATTGGATGAGTTATGTTGTGTATGGCAGGGGTCTTGACCAAAGTGTAATGGCCCTGCAAGAATTTGGCCCAGGTCATATCTTACTTGATGACCTCTGCTTTACATTTTTGCCATATTTTTGTCATTGCTTGGCATGAAATCATAGGCCTAATTTACTGCATAACTGATTGTTATTAAATATATTTAACAATAAAAATCATTACATTTAATAATAGTAATTATATTTAATCATTTTAATTAGCAATAATTATATTTAATAATTACATTTGTTATTGAATGTAATTAAATGTAATTATGTAGTTACATTTGAATAGTAGAAAAACTAGGTAAGCACTAAGGGCTAAGTGTCCTTTGTTCCCTTTACAAAGGTGTCTGATTTGCATATCTGCGTTTATCTTTATCATCATGAGTGTCATTTTGTTCTTATGGACTCCAGGGTAAGCGCTTCCTGCAGTTAAAGAACCCTTGGAGCCATCTCAGGTGGAAGGGCCGTTACAGTGAGCGTGATGAGAAGAACTGGACTCCGGATCTACTCAAGTACCTCAACTTTGACCCCAAAACTGCACAGAAGTTTGATAACGGTAAGAGAATAACATCCAGGTCTAGAACACCAAGTGAAATGAAAAGACCTAATTCTACTTAAGAGCCGTGACTTGACTAAGGTCTGTTTTTAAGGTGTGTTCTGGATTATCTGGGAGGACCTGTGCCAATACTATGATGTCATTTACCTGAGCTGGAATCCCGGACTGTTTAAAGAGTCTTCCTGCATACACAGGTCAGTCTCTTAGACCCCATTTACACATGGTCACTTCATGTGACTAGTATCTGGATTGTATCCTGATGAGATTTTAGTCACATGCATTTACACTTCAGATGCGTCTCCGGTTAGTCAGACTGAATTCCATTTACTGTGTGGGACAGAATATGCAAATCTGCACGTTTACATTAAGTGACCAGGTATATACAGGGTCTTCGAGTCTTATTAGATCACATCTGGGTTGAAAACCGTTGCATTGAAGACACGAAACTGAGGAGAAAAGTAGTTGCGGGGATGAGTGCTGAATGAACATACAGCTTGTGTTTTCTGCTGTGCCTTTGTAGTAGCTGGGATGGGAAACAGGGTCCAGTGAAAGACGCCTATAGTTTGGCCAACAACCCTCAGTACAAGCTGGAGGTACAGTGTCCACAGGGGGGAGCTGCAGTGTGGGTGCTGCTAACAAGACACATCACCGACAAGGTACAGTATCAAATGACACTGACTTCAACATCTGAGTAAATTACAGAGTTTAGTCACAGTGGAGACACATTAAACATCATTATTTGTAATGATAATGTTTGGTGTTCTGGCACTGTTTGATATTTTATGCTGTTATGTTCATTCTTTTATTCATTTTGAAGGATGACTTTGCTCAAAATCGAGAGTTCATCACTTTAGTTGTTTACAAGACTGACGGAAGGAAAGTTTACTATCCAGGTACATATCTTTGAATAAAACAAGCGGCCGACATGATTTCTTGTTTTTTTGTGTAATAAATTTGGTTCATCATCACTACAGTTGATAGCATGTGAGTGACTTCTTTCTCATCGTCTCTGTCCTTGTAGCTGACCCTCCACCTTATATTGATGGCATCAGGATCAACAGCCCACATTACCTGACCAAGATCAAGCTGACCAATGCAGGAACTCACACCTTTACACTGGTGGTGTCTCAGTATGAGAAACAAAACACAATCAACTACACACTAAGGGTAACTCTCTCCATCTCTGTCTTGTGCTTGCATTTACATACAGTATATACTAAGGTCAGAGAACATCCTTCATTTATTTCATTTCCAGTCAAAATGACCAGTAAGTACACGTTTTTCATTTTTTAGGGTCGAAAAAAAGAAAACATATTTAACAGAAGATTATATAGAAGCCTCAAAATAATTATAATGTGGAAGTTTTCAACTTTTTAGTGCGTCTACCTTTTGCCTTTATTACAGCTTCTGTTCTTTTTGAGAAACTTTCAGTTTTTCAAATAAATTTCCAGAAATATTTTTCCACACAAAGTTCAGTCATAGAAGTTGGCTGCATTTTCTTCTTGTCAAAGTCTAAGTTATCCCAAACACGTTCAGTAATGGGGTGGCCAGCCCATTGTTCTTTATCTTTTCTCAGTAATGACTTCTCTACACATCTTTTCAGATCTGTAGCATTTTGTGGAAGGATGGACAGAAACACTTGTGGATTTTTTCAGATCTGAAGCAAGAGTGGAGCTTAATTTTCTCTCTCTCAAAGATGAAAGCTTTAGATACTGTTTATCTAATAGGGACAGTTTTGGTGGTATATCAGGTCTTGCATGGTTGTTAGGAGTTTCAATTACATGTTGATTATCTTGTATCTGATCTCCTCAGAAATATCTCCTGAAAAATGAATGACTTTGACTTAATTTCAGTTTTGACAAGTCTCTGACTTTCACACTATATTGTAGAACAATATTTGCTGTACAAAAGTGTTTCAGGGTGTTTTATGTTTATTATATTGAAGTTTTACATGCTGCATTTTGTAGAAGAGCAAAGGGAGGACAACGAGTACAGCACTGGCATTTATTCCAGGTTGACCTGGAGCTCATTTTCATATTGCTAATATTGGATTGCATTAGAATGCACATAGATCTGTATCTTGGTTCACATCTCCAGTGTTTGTTAGTTAATGAAGGCAGTTTTGGCGCACAGTGTTCCTGGTTCATCTTTCATCTCCTTAGTGAAAATCCCCAGAGGCTCTTTGAGGTTTTTTACTGACTGCAATACAAAATCAGCATTTCTGAAGGTTATTTTTCAACTAGGTGTAATGAAATTAGATTACAACTTGTGGTTCATCTAATATTAATTATTATGAATTTCCCATACAGGTCTACTCAGTGTGCAAGTTTAATTTCTCCAAAATTCCAACACCCTTCACTCATACCAAAAGGGTAAGCTTATGTTGTATCAGAACTTGTATTCATTGTAAAAATCATTATTTATGCTGTACTGCTTATTTGTGCAGTGATCAATCCTTCGTCTCCTCCTTTATCTTTGTCTTTATGTTTGCGTAGATAAATGGCCAGTGGAAGGGCATCAGCGCAGGAGGCTGTGGGAACTATAAGGACTCCTACAAGCACAACCCCATCTACCAGTTTAACCTGGAGAAATCAGGACCTCTGCTCATCGAGCTCCGCGGCTCCAGGTAAAACTTGGCTATCCTGGTAATTCTGCCACAAACCACCAGAGGGTGCACACGTATCATTTGCTCAAATAATTTTCAGATGGCAGTGTGCAATGCACTAGCTGTCCTGTTGTTAGGTGTACAAGTCAAAGTCATACCTTTGCCAAACGTCGCTCTGTTTGGATAAATTTCTTATGCTTTGAAAGAAAATGATTGTTGGCAGGAACTTGGAATTGCCATTAATCTACCTGGCTGTATGCATGTAAAGGATGTGCATACGCAACCGAAATCACACGCTTTTTTACTTTGTAGTGCACTATTATAAATCCATGTCTTGCCATGTCTGGAAACACAGTGGAGAATTGGGTTGGATTATAAGGTAAAAATACAACATAAAGATTCTTCAAGACATTTTAATGACACAATAAGTATCATTATATATGTTTTTTTAGAGATTTGGTAAGTTGAGGCAGATAAAAGGAGCTAGTAGTGCTTAAAATGCTTAAATTCTGTCAAGAACTATAAATGCAATGATTTTTATTCAGTGTTTCACATACTGCCCTGCACACAGGACTAATTATTCTCTCTTTATAATGAAGCCTGCAGTTGTTCAGTGTTATTTTTAAAACTGACAGTGTCCACTATGTGTGCAGAAAAGCATGTTACATACAGTATGTTGATGTAATTTTATCATAATAACAATAAATGTCATCGTATTGCCCGATCTTAGTGGAGCACACCTAGTGCTCTTATGAAATCCCACAGTGCAGCACTGCAGGTAGTGTCCAAAGATGGAAAAGAATACAAGACTCAAAACATGAGCATCTACCGTCAGAAGGGTTTCTTATTTCTTAGTGAAACAGCACAAGTGTGCAATGGCCTAAGTCTGTGAGGAGGCATATCATAGTGGACTGCATGATGTTTGCTTGTGTTTATGTAACAGAATGTGACTACCATTACAAAACGCTAAGCAAACCGTGTACGTGAAACTGTGTATTTTAATCAGGAATTATTTTCCTGATGTTACTGTGCTGCATTAAAGTCCTGGTTCTCCAGCACAAGAAATAGTAAGTGTGCTTCTATTTTGAATGTAGCAATAGATGACTATTATAATTACCTGCGGTGTGTAGGCCATCGTGAGAGTTCAGCTTTGATCAGTGCTCATTAGCCTACAGTGGTTTAAGAGGACGCTCTACAAGTCACCTCTGTAGCTGTGATCAAGAAAAGCCAATAGCTGTTGGTGCAGCAATAGCAGCAGCCTATTACACAGCCTCTCTTCATTCAGGTTGTTGGTCTCTCTCTCGCTCTTGCTCTCTCTTTTGCTTTTTGTCTTTCTTTCTGTCTCATCTTAATTCATTTCTTTCTTTCATTCTATCTTTCTTTCTCTTACTGTATCCGTCTCTTTCTCTCTCTTTCTCTCTCTCTCTCTGTCTCTCTGTAATCTCTGCATTGTGTTATTGTAGTTTGACTGAGTGTGAATTTGAGTGTTGTTGGGTTTGTGTCCCTGCAGGCAGTACAGCGTGGGCTTCGAGGTTGTGACCGTGTCCACTGTAGGAGACCCTGGAAGCTCAGGCTTCCAGAAGAAGAGCAGTGGAGATTACAGGTAAGGTAGTGCTGTGGGACAGACACAGAGAGAGGTGTGCGTGTAGGTGGCTGATTCAGTCTTACTGTCTTGGTCAGTGCCAGGAGAGAGGAGAACAAACAGAAGGGGAAGCTAATGCTGATATTCTCTGCCAAAAGGAGAACAAATTGTTATCTGGAGCTTCCCCCATTTTCAAAGCATGCAGTTTGTGCTCCCACTGCTGCATTAGCCTGTCATATATCATATGCTTTTCACATCACATGATACAGCTGAAATTTTTTCATATGGAAACTGTTGAAAAGTTTGCAATCACTGTTTACCATAATATAAAACCAGTTTGATTGCAGATACATGTAAAAAATGGTTCTACTATGATGCTAATGTTCTGTGGATTTAAAAGAAATTGTAGATAGCTGTAAAAAAAAAGGAAATGTATGCTGTACAGCATTGAGAATGAACTTATAATAAAATTAACCTATGGAGTGCATCATATTCAAAAAACAGTGACCGAATTTCACTGATCAAATTTAAAAAAAAGCCATTTATTTTGATTTTATGTCAAGTAGTTACTATAAATTGATTGTTACAGATCATTAGTTAATAACTTGAACTGTTTTTATATTGTCATAAGTTTGTCATAATTTTAAACTGTAAATAAACCAGCGGTTATTGCCCGATTAGTTTCTAGTTTATAACATTTCAATCTACACTGTGACAAATATTGGTTTATTATTCTCTTCTACAAAATTACAGCACATCAACAATTGCTATATTTTCTCTTTTTTTCCTAGCCGAATCTTAGCATTGTGTAGCTCATGACATGAGTGTGGATAGGGATATAAAAGTCCATTGGTGCATCATGCATTGAGTTTGGGATAGTAACATCATTTACAATAGAAGACAGTTAAAATCCTTTTGCAAAAGTGAAATTAAACACAAAGCCAAAAAACTAAAAATATACACAAATGCTCAAATGACTGAACAGACTACTTCCACTGTCCACTGTTACCAGAGTAGTGGGTTATAAACAGTAAAAACAACACACGGATGTGTTCTGAATTGTTCCAGTATAATCGAATGAGATCAAATCGTAGTGAAATTTGAGATTTCATCATGCGATGATTTGTTTCCCAAAGAATCTTTAAACTGTTGTGAGGTCAGGGATCTACACCCCTAGTGGTTAGAGGTGGCATTTCACTTTTGATGGCTATTGGTATCAGGCTGATATCAGCAGAAAATTCTGGATTGGACAGCTAAGGGAAAATGAATGAATCTGATTAAATTCTGTAACAAACCTTATCCTGTTATAGCGCACTCATGCTGTGTGATTGGATTGTTAGCTGTGTGTTTCTTCCTGTAGGGTGGTAAAGCATTTAGTTGTTTGAGCATGATAGACTACTTTCTAGATGCTCAAGTGCTTCAATTAAAGGGCTCATTTTATAGCTGAAGAAATATGAGATCAGTATCAGACGATACTCAGAGTTTTACTTTCGGTATCGAGGTATTGGTCTCTACTAGGGTTGAATAAATTATACATCAGCTTTGTTGGTAGATCAGTTAAATTTCTTTGTTTTTGGTTCATGTTTAGTTAAAATAGTGCATTGAAAGGGGATCTAAAAGTGATCTAATACCATGTTGCCTTGCTTTGTCCATTCATAACTTCTCTTGTCAGATGTGGCTTCTGCTATATGGAGGTGGACTACATCCCTGCAGGCATTTACAACGTAATCCCTACCACTTTCCTGCCCAAACAGGAAGGGCCCTTCTTCCTGGATTTCAGCAGTGCCACTCCTCTTCGAGTGTCCCAGCTCCAGTGACAGCTGCTCCCACGACAGACCAGTAACCTACTGCAGCAGAGCAGAGCCTTCTCTCATCAGTGCTGCAGTGTCTGTCCCTCACTTTCAATCTGGTATGGACCTGCCTGCTGTCCCTCCGCCCCCTTCATTCAGCCTGACTGTTGTTATGACTGCTTCCCTCCTCACAGAGTGTGGTCTGACAGACTGTCACAGACTGTTTGCCTGGCACCGTCTGTTTCTTGCTATGATTGTAAAGTGCTTGGAGCACATATGCACACATTGCTTCAAAGAATTGCACAGAACTCTTCTGATGATGTTGGTGCATGAACATTTTATTCCCATGGATGACTTTTTCACTCAGGAGACTGCAATAAACCGTTGGACTTTACAACACTGTATATTATGGGAAGATTCATGTTTGGTACCTAGGTGGCTATGTAGCCGTTCTAAGGGCTCTTCTGTGGTCAATGAAGTATAAATGACTTGAGATCTGGCACTAAATACTGGTGTTCAGAATTATAGCACTCTCATCTAGAAGGTATAATGAAGTACCAGCAAGACTTGGAATCTGCCGCTTTTTCACTTTTTCAGGTGCTAATTTTTTGTTTCATGTTCTGTGATGTCACATCAAGCCAAATCAGTTTTGTTGGTCTCAAAAACAGAAATATACTCAGCTATAGATCACTGGTTTTCAAACTGGTCTTCAGGGCCAACCAGATGGTGCACAATCGTGCTCCAACCCAGGGCCCTGGGGACCGGATTGAGAACCACTGCTATCCATGATTTTCCTGAAAACCCAACGGGGGCTGCCATGATGCCTCACTATTTCCCTTTGTGCTAACCAGAGAATTTCTACTGAAAAAATAAATTGCCTCTGGTACAGACTACATGATTGAAACATAAGCTTGGGCTCGTAGCTGGCTGTTGTTGGAAAAGTATGTACTCCAGCTTATTGGTAAACACCCTGCACCCTCTGCGTTCCATTCCAAGCTGAAGAAGAAGGAAAGGAAACTGATCTTTCTTGCAGCTTTAAAACTGAAATATTCTCCAGAAAGGAGATATGTTTGCTCATAAAAATAGGATACATAGCAAATAGGATCTATCTGAGCTTATCCCTACCTTCTACAAGACAGCTGCTTTCCCGTTTGTCTGGTTACTAAGAAATTCCTAGCATTTTTTGCCAATTTTATTAAAAAAAAAAACAACAGCAATTCATGTTCACTATTTCACTGGTTCAGAACGGAAACACTAACTAGAAACCAAAAAACGGCTTTGGTTATGAATCATGGGAAAGGTTAAAGTTCAGGAAAATTATGGATAGATAATAGGATGCACTCATCTTAATGAACAGGGGTATTGCCAGGGGAACTTGCACCTCCATGTAACCCAGTTTATTAATATCGTTCATCCACTCAGATGTATTTATTTTCAGTGCAATTAAAGGAAAGCAGAGGAAAAATATTAACAATTAGATCAGATTATCTGTTGTAGGACAGTTTGTGTTTTTTCCTTGGACTTGAAAGCAGATCATAAGGATGAAGTTTTTGTGAAGCAGAGAGACGCCTTGAGGAAACACAAGGGAAGCCGTTTTTGTTGTAGTGAAGTAAAGGCAGAATTGGTCCTAACTGGAGTCAGCAGGTTTCAGTCACAACAGCAGCAACTTCTAACAGAACGCTTTTTCTTTGAAACATCAGTGACCTATAAATGAAAGGTTCACCAGTTTTACATGACTGTATGTGATTGTTTTCCAGCCTAAAAAAAGCATCTAATGTGACAGTTCAGAGTAAATCAAGTTTACACAATTTTCCTTTTACCCCAAATACCGTCAAATGGCCAAGACTTGTTTGATGTCTGTGGTTTGCTTCTTTTGCAAAAAGGCTAATTTAGCTGCTGACGTCTGTGATGATTTAGACATGCAATTAGCACAATATTAATTAGAGTACATAAGCTTCAGTTTCAGTGTTGGATACATTAGCTTTTAGTCCCATGTGCAAAACTAAAGGAGCACACTGCAGACACCAAACGTCTCGGCTGATCGATTATATCTGAGGTTTGGGGAAAAACTGAAAATTTGATTTTCACTGAACTAACTTATTAAGGAAAATGAACGTCAAGGACGGCAAATTAGCTGAATTTTCAGCAGTTCTACTGCAGTTCAGTATAGATACAGAACAAATATACATATAAAAAATAACTCAGGAATTGATCAGTGATTGGATTCTACATAATACACACGCATGGATCAGTATATATGTAAAGTGTGGGATCCGGTGCAAATGGTAGAGGGCACTGAATATGAATGAATATGTAATAGGAGACGTGATTCTCTGCATGTGCTATATCAGCCTGTCTTGTGAATACCAACACCCAGCAGTTCTCCCTTCCCTGGTCTCTACATATACAGTGTTTTGCGGACAGTTCTGTAGTAAAAGAGAAGACTGGAGTTGGTACTGATCTTCCACAGAACTTTGCAAAATATGGATCTCCTGCACATCATGCTGAATATTGCTGTTAGTGAAAAGGCAGTGTAGAAGAAAAACAATACAACCATCATTGAATATTACTTTATTTAAATTTGAAAACAACTAGGCAAGCTGCTGAAATTCAGGAACAGACCATCATAAAACATAAAAACACAGTTTTAAAGATGGCTTTTACCATCTGTTTCCACTACATACACAAAGAAAATGCTGGAACACGAACAAAAGGGAAACTGAACACAAGTTTGCACATAAAGACTATACAGTGTACTGACTAGAACTGAAGCTGTGCTTTGTGCCTCTATATCTAGCAGCAGCTGCTGTATTATGCAACTGGTTAACATTCATTCTCTTTTCCTATTAGTGCATTTCACTTCAACTCATTCTCCATTTTCAAAACTGGGGTCAGTTTCCTAAAGCAACATCTCGGCCGGTTTAAGTCAAGTTTTGAAAACTGACCATCCCATAAGAATGTTGTTTACTTCTCCAACTGAACAGTCTCTGGGTCTACTTGGCTAACTAGGCAGCCCTGCTTTGTGAAATGTCCCCCAGCCAGCAAACCCTTGCAGTCCAACTGACCTCAGTGTAGTTAATCAACTTTGTTAAACCAGGAAACCCAACAAAAGACTGACCCATTCTCAGTGTATAAAACATCCAGGTAATGACGGCTGTAAAGAACACAAGATATCTTTATCTATTGCTCTTTTTTTTTCATATCAATATCGACCAAACATGGGGACTGTCCATCTTTATAGAGACACAGACATGACAGCATGCACACTGTCCAGGTGAATGGTCAAGCCCATTAATCATGGTGCTGCTGGGGTGCGAATCTTGATGAGGAAAGGATGAAGAAAGGTCTCATATAAGAGGGCCGGAGGAGAGGTCCAGCATGACTGTAGATGAGGTCTAACGCAGGTCAACTTGAGCTTTATTGCACTAGAGAAAGCAGCCAATTAGTCGTGAAGCTCTAAAGGTTTTTGAATCCTTTAGATATGTTTGAATACAAGTTTTGGGAGTTTTCTCTTTCACGTTTGTCAGTGTTGCGTCTGCTGTTCTCCAGGCCGAATACAAGCATAAGCACTGACCGTATTATACTGCAGCGTGAATGATCAGTATTGAGGCCATGGCTTTGCTACAGTGAACATGAAAGACAAAGAGTGAGAAGACCATGAAGAGATATCACTAATCTCTGTTTATTTTTTACTCAGCTCTTTAAGACTTTCTATGAATAAACAAAGGGTCAGAGAAAAGACCCTTTTCAAAAAGTATACTTCCATATCTCCCCACTCTCCTAGCCATCATCTGTAACCTCACAAAGTCTTATCATGTCTGAAAGTTTTGTGGATTCGGTTGTTGGTTGAGTCGGTTGGATGTTTAGGCTATTTATATAAACATTGAGGATTTCAGTAACTCTTTAGCAGAATCTCCCTCAATTAAAACCCTTTAACATCTCGTGAGATTGCTTCCCCTGAACAACCACAACTCTCAAAACAGTCTCAACAAAATGAACAGTGCTGAATTCAAGGGTGAGAGACAGATGGACAGCTGCCAGTGCCTGTGATTAGGTCATGGCATGTGGTTGGAAGGGTGGTAAGGTGTTGGGGTAAGAGCAGCCTATACTGCACCCCAATGAGGAGGAGCAAGGTAATGAGGGTGATGGGGGAATGGTTTTAGGCCACACTGAAGGGGTTGCGTCCAGTGACTTTGGCATTGTCCATCTGTCCACGTTTCAGAGACAGAAGGCGGAAAGGGTTCTTCATGCTACTAATGCTGCTGTTGTTATTGAGTGCGTTGTTCAGGTCAGCCTCGGCACCCTCTGCTCGGTCACCTACAAATATAATACAATAAGTGTTTAGCTCTTCAGTCTCATACGGCAAAAAGCTTTAACTTTAACCTGCTACCTCAGTACACTGGGTGCCTACACTCTGACTTACTTAACAGTGAGGGAGGTACTCCAGCCGTTCACAACAACAGCACAAACCGAGATGATAGTTTGGCTCAGTAGCTATTCTCACTGTTGAAGTTACAGAGTTAAAAAGCCTGTGAGGTTTGAAGAAAACATCTAAGACAAAAAAAAGGAAGAGGCAAAAAAAGGCCACATGTCCTCCGTATTGTTGAATGGCCTTGGTTTTCGTAAATGAGCGGCCAGAAAAAAGCCTATTTTATGTTTATAACTGAGCAATGTGAAATGCATGTAATAGGTAGCAATAATTATCCATATTTTAGAATACAGAAAAATAAGATATGTTAAGATTTTTGCCCATATCAACCCGCCCTACTTCAGCTGCAGTTCTGCTTAGTCATCTCTTATTTTTACACCTGGCAAAGGCACCGCAGAATCTGTCATAGTGACAAACAGACCATCCTGAGGCACAGGTGCAAGGAGGACAGGAAGCCAAGAAAAATCCATCTTCACAGTATTGCATAGACATGATACTTGAAAACTACAGCTGTCTTTCTTATGCAATGTATGCAATATCCCAATTTCTTTTCCATTTATTGATGCACAAACACAAACACTAAGGATGTTCCTATTAGCTTTGTTTGCCCTGAATTTGATCCGAGTCCTTTAATACTGAGTATCTGAGTTCCAATACTGAGTCCCAATTGATGTATTTTTGTACATAATACAGCCGCACAGTGCACATTTCAAGTAAAATCACATATATTCACATATAATGACACTCAGAAATTAAACATGCTTTTTTTTTTTTAAAAGTAGTCCTTACAGTTTTTCACCATTGTTAACGCACTAAAACTGGAACTTGAGGCACAGTTACTAAAAACTAGAACTCAAGTACCAAATCCCTAAACCAAGTCTGCAAAAACAGATGAATTTTCAGTCTGCAGTGGAGGAGGCCTATGGTGATGCGGATATGGTGGCCAGGGCTGGCTACACCACACTATGGCATATTATGCCTGCTGTTTAGCCAGGGAGAGCCCTGCTTGTGATGTGGATGAGGTGCCAGGCCAAAACAGGCCAGATGGAGCCTTGTTCAGGTTTTGCAGTGCCTGATTTGCTTTAGTTTTTGTTTTGTTTTCCAAGCTTATTTTTGTTTACATATTTTCTTATGTATTGTACAACAATGAAAACACAAAAGGCATAAACCTACTAAAGATAGTGTCAAAGATTGTTTCCCTGATGATTTGTCTTCTGAAGCAAAAATAGTGTTTTGAACATAACAGAGTTCAGAATGCAGACTGTGATTTTTTTCCCTGGGCCCATTTGCCCTTTGAGTTGGGTTTGTTTTGCTGAGGGTGAAAGCTGTTTGAGCCTGGGAGCCGTCCAGAGAACGGTGGTCTGGAGTTTGCGCTGGTGCAGTTTGCAGTGTGGGATGAAAACTATCTGCTCGAGTATGCTTAATTTTGTCATGCTACTCCATGTTTTGTTTTGCAAAGGTAGTAATGAAGTGGTAGTAACAAAGTGGTGCAAACACTTACACTGACATTATAATAAAAAACATACCGTATGTGCTGTCCTACATGCCTTAAAACCTCATGAAGTGAGAACAGCTTCTTGTTTGCAGCTTCCTGCACCAGGACATGCCCCACATCCAGTAATCGCTGTTCATTACTATTTGAGCCTTGGTAGCCAAAAGGAACCATAATAATAAAAGTTTAATCCTATAGTCAACTTTCATCCCAGCCATAGTGTTACCTTGACTCAGATACTCAAGCTTTCAGACCAGATTGGGACGTCCTTACCACATACCAAAACCCAAAGGCTTTGCTGTGCAAATCTCACCTCTCTCCAGGTCACATTCTGGTGAAGAAGCTCCGCTGCATTCACTGCGAGGCCCCAGGATGGGTGAAATCAGGCCAAAGTCGGACAGAGACACCGTGCTGGGCAACTCCAGACTGCAGGGCCGAGATGAGGGGGGAGGGGAGGATGATGACGAAGAAGGGGAAGAGGAGGAGCAGGAGGAAGAGAAGGGGCAGGGCAGATCCAGAGGGCTGCTGGTTCCAGAGCTCAGGCTGCAGGTGGACCGTGTCTCTGAGTCCTCCTCAGACATGGCACTAGTGCTGCAGTTCTCATCCTCAAAGGACTCTGATGCCACTGCAGAGAGACACAGCATTGCAAGATGAAATGTTTCAGCCAGCTATCTGAACAGCCTCTGAATATAGGGTTTCGATAGGCTTCTGATAAGAATTCTTTCACTAAGCTTTAATATAAGCTATTTTTAATTGAAGCACTTCACCTTAAATGAGCATCTAACCTGGTGTTGGATCAGTGTCATC